GGGCTCAAGTCAGTATTTGCAATATAATTACATACACGCTATATCGCCCCCCTTGACAGTGAAACGCCACGCGTGAGGTTTAGATTATTTCCCTGTCTCAATCCAAATTGAACTGTATGAAATAAAAAGGCACATTTGTAGTAAATCAAAAGGGCGACCTGGAGCCAATTCTACAATTTCCCCACAGGTGAAAGAGTTGACATGCTGAAAACCCAACCCCTGCAGGGGGGTCTGGGGTAGGGTGACCAGACGTCCCCGTTTGTATTGGCCTGTCCCCGGTTGAAACTGTCTCCGGTAATGTCCCCGTTTTTCAATATACGTTAAAAACACATAGCAAGGTGAAATAAAACGTTTCATGTCAGGAAACACTGGGTAAACAGACTGCGGTTAAGCCAGCCCCCACTTCGGAAAAGACAGCCCGCACGTTGAAGTGCGCGAATATCCTATGGATTACGGTAGAGCCCTGTAAAAACTACCTTCAAAATAAAAGCGTTTACTCGGTCAATAACAAATATACCTAAAGAACATATCAAACATATTCATATACTGGAGCTTAAATTAAGAAACATGTACTATATAATGTGATCAATAATAATGTAAAACAAACTACGTATAACTACCACATTATAACTGAGTGAATGTAAAATGTAAGGATACAGTTATGAAGACATATCTGACATTTCCACTGGGTGACTAATTTCAATTGATGTTGACACCATCTCACAACACTCCTAAAATAACATTACTTTCTGAAGCACAATTTAAAATGTATGCTGTTTAAAATCTTAAATTAGATCTATTGTCCATCTATATTTTGATTATTATTGAATGGAAACCGTCCTAATCAAAGAGTCACTCGAAGTCAATCAAATACTTATTTCACTTCAGGGTGATAGCAGGAGACCCCATCTAGTCAATCAGAGAACATCAAGACAATCTGATGTAGAGTTTCAAAATAAAAGACCTTTGAAGTCTCATATATGAGCTATCATCCCTGTTTTTAGATAAGAATAAAACAAAAACTGTCCAGTATCAAAGACTTATTTCAGTTTCAAAATAAAAGACCTTTGAAGTCTCATATGAGCTATCATCCTTCTGTTTGTATCCAACAGTTCAAATGTTCGAATTACATTAAACCAGAATTGTCTCCCTTTTTTTTTTAACAGTGAAGAAAATTGGATATGTTAATGATATATTGACCACAAAACTCAAAATGTCCCCGGTTTTAATTTTGAAAATCTGGTCACCTTAGTCTGGGGGGATTCTCCCTCAGGAGATTTTTTGAAATACTAACATAAAATATAAATAATAAAAATGAATGCCATTTTAGTTTTGTGTTACTTTGTTCTGAAAGCTGAACCTGCTGCTCCTCACAGAGAGAAGAGGGAAGAGGCTGTGTGAATTACTTTACATTGTGGATAAGGCCCCCATTGTTCTGTGTGTCAAAATGAAAGACAGCCCACACACCTATCAATCATCAAACCGTGGGGTCTTGATGAACACGTAATGTTGTATCGATGTATAGAGATGTACTACCGCAAAAGTATTCTCCGTCTGGACTTCCTGCAACAACACCACGCCGTTATCGTGATTCTGATTGGCCAGAAGACATTATCAAAGATGTTCTATTGAGAAATGACAGATTAGTGACCCTAATGCAATCATTAGCATTAGTGTGGACAAGAGTTATGACAATTTCAACCTTTATTGATGAACTCAAACCAAAACAGAACAGAACGAGAGAAAGGTAAACACATGAAGTACAGAGTAAAAGACTAGGGTCAGAATCACAGGTTTAACAACAAAGCAAAATAGACAAATGCAACAAGTTGTGATGGCTATGAACTTAAAGAGTAACAAAGAAATGAACTATTTTAATTGGTGATAATGGAACTTTTATATTTACATAAAAAGATGGCAGAATAAGAATGTGTGAACATTAAGGCCGTACACACACCAAAGATACATTTACTTTACAGGCTCTTGGTAATGGTTTTCCATCAGTGAAATACGGCTCTTTACTGAAACCTAGTGGCAGCAGAATGAAACTGCAACTCAGCAAACGCATGTTCCTCCAATATCCCAATGTGCTTTTCAAAAACAACATTTATTTTGGAATGGATAAAAAATAACACAAACAAGTTGTTGTTGATATTTCAGTGTAGACAAGAAGAAGAACATTGGAAAGAAATATTATTTGAATAAAGTTGATAAATGTACAAAACAATGGAAATGGTTTGTTATCAGTAAATTATAACTCTTTAGTAATATTTACATTTTCCAACAAGCCAGCAGTTAGGGATCAGATCCCTTGTTGCAACATCTCTACATTTTGTCATTCTTTTTGCGGCAAAAATCATGTTACACAAGAAATATTTACAATTCAGTACATTAAGCTGTGAAATACTTAAAGGCGACATATCATGCTATATTTGAACAATATATTGTAGGGCCATATCTATATAAAGTATATAAATATCGGTTTTTATTTTCAAAATACCAAACAGATCCTGCATTTTAGCCATGCCTCATTTCGCTCTATTGGCTCTTTCCAGCCCTGTTTTTGCAGGGGCTGATTCTGTGAGCTGCAGCTGACCACACCCCCCTGCAGGAGAGGGGAGCGTGCTCTGAGATCAGCTGCTAGGCTGCAGCGGGGAGAAGAGGGGGAGAAAAAGAGATCTACGTCCTCCGTGTTTTATTCTTATAGAAGTAAGAAGAGAAGTAATGGGGCAGAAACCCTCCTTTTTATGCAGCGGTCCAGACATAGACATCAAACGGCGACACATATTCAGTTGCCAGTTCCTTTGGCATTAGGGCAGGGATATCTAGATACTTCCCAAGGTTTGACATTATGAATTGTGCTACTTTTAAAGCAAGCAGCGATGTTTTCAAATCTGTAATCAAAAAGCTCCTCAAAAACACTATCGAAGCAGTTCCTGCCGTTGCTACGTTAGTTCAAACAGTAACAACGGACTATTTTTCTTAGCGGATGCATGTCAATTTAAATCAATACATAAAACTATTTTTTAAATCAATAAAACCATTTTTTTTAAAAAAGCATTTCAATTAATATTGGGAGTAATGTCGTTACTTTGTTGGGAATGTGGCCATGTAATAAGCGGGATAATGTGCAGCTTTATGACGATCTAGATCCCTCCGCTTCGCGTCGGGCTCCTGATCAGCCTGTCGGTGTTCTTTTCCCCATAATGACCGCGTCGCTGCACATTATCCCTTACATGTGATTATATAGAGTCATTATTCATTTAACCCTTCTCTTGCGTTTCGGGTCAAAAGTGACAATGACTTTTATTTTAATCATAAATATTGTGTTTTTCATCCAATTGCCTCAATACCTTATGTTATCCTCCACACTAGGCCTCTGAACACTTGATGAGCACCACCCAACACCCTTGACGTTTTCGGTCAGATTTGACCGCCATAGAAAATGAATGAGTATCAGTGTATTATGTTCATCCTGCAGATGGGGAACACACACACACACACACACACACACACACACACACACACACACACACACACACACACACACACACACACACACACACACACACACACACACACACACACACACACACACACACACACACACACACACACACACACACACACACACACACACCTCTCCCTTTCTTTCGCTGTATGATACAATGTATCATACTTTCTCACAGGTGCGAGCTCTGTGCCCCTCGAGAAACACAAACCTCACTTTCTTGGGCTAGATGTGACTAAATGCGCCTCCCTTACTGTCTCTCAAGCAGTTATATTTGTGCCTTGCTCACATTTGACTCATTGATACGATGAGCAGGCGACCGATTAGGCGATTTTCTGTACGAGGGGCTCTGGACATATTTTTTGAACCACATGAAGAGGAGATTGAACCAGATGAAGAGGAGATAGAGGAAGATGTCTCAGAAATGGAAGACAACAGCGATCCAGACTATGAGCCTACAACAGACCAGGTAGAGGCACCTGAGGAAGAGGCGGGAGAGGCCCCTGAGATAGAGGCCCCTGAGGGAGAGGCCCCTGAGATAGAGGCCCCTAAGGAAGAGGATCCTGAGGTGACATTCCACAATTTTGCATTGCCAACCATGTGCGTGAACACACGTGAACACACACTCATGTTCTGTTATGGTATATTTCTTTTTCAATAAATGTTCATTGAAGAAAACCGTATCGGTGTCTTATTTTATATTCATCACAGTGAATTCTGAACTTGATGGGGCCCACCGGTGGGTCCGGACCATGACATGAAACGAAACACTGGCTTGCTTGTATCAAATCATCCCATACATAATTGGAATGGGAAGAATCTCAGCTACAACACTAACTAAATCATTTCCATCTCTAGTAAACACAGCCTACATGGCAAGCATTTTTATAATATACAGTAATGTAAAATGGGCACTATCTTTGAACTTACTGCCAAAAATAATATGAAATTCACCCCTGATGTCATTCTGTCTGTCACCACTTGATTCTACTTGCTTTGACTGTTCAAATGAGATGTAAAGCATCAAAATTGGATAAGGGGTTCCAGAGATATCACTGTGCAAAACACACGGGTCAATTTTGACCAAAAATAGCATGGGAAGGGGGGTATGACCTAACGCAAGAGAAGGGTTAAAGCAGGAGGCGCAAACGCTTGCCTCGGGGCACAGAAGGGCAACCATGGCAACCATGCAAGGGGAAGTCTTCTTCGCTGCTTTTGTGGCAGACTACAGCGCCACTTACAGGCCTGGCATATGTACTACAGCGTCTCCAGCGTTTTCGAGCAGCAATGGCCGGCCGTGGCCCAACCTCTCATTCCCCTGATAGGTGGATAATTGACCAATAGCCGTAGCGACACCGTCCTGACGTCAGGACAGTGTTCAAATCTGGATCAATCTGTATCAGATCCGTTGCAGCCCCTTTTTTAGAGATTTGGGTATAGAGGAAAAGAGAGAAGGTTGTTTTTTGCTGACACTTGGTGAGTTCCCTGGAACACCGGGGACACATATTCATAAAAGACGTACACAAGTGCATTTTGCATGATAGGTCCCCTTTAACAATATCTTTACATTTGAGCCATTCAGATTAGGCTAAAATCTAGGCTGAAAACTCATCGCCTCATTCTACGAGAGGTCCACCCTGAGACATCTATTTAAAAATCCACATTACCCTGTGTAAATAGAAATGTGATTGTAAAAAACTGAAGTATCATCCTTCAAATGCAACGCCTGCTGTGTTTATCTGGATTTGTTGACCGTGCTGTACAATGCAGCTGGATCCTCTTCAGAGTCCTGACTCCTGGTCCTGAGAAATAAATGATGAGTTTTTAGTGGTAATAATAATGCAAAAGGAATGAAATGAAATGTGAACAATGTTCCTGTGTGAGGATCTGCTCACCTCGGAGCAGCACTGCTGAACTTGACGGCAGCGTCCTCCGGGACTTCCTGTTGCTCCGTGTGTCTGAGGGGCTGAGCTGCTCTCATGTTGGAGTAAAGAGGGTCTGCCCGGTTGTTGGAGAAGTGAACGCTGGCATACTGAAGGTCCTCCTGCTGCTCCGGCTGATCAGGTACACACTGCAGGGATGAAAACACTTTCAGGTACACATTGTTACATTCATAGGTATTTCATTTAAAGAGGAATGGACCCAGGACAGAAAAGGCCAAAGCAACAGCAGCTGTGGTAATGATGGAAAAATATCCCTGCTTCATCAACTTAATGCTGATGTATGACAGAAAAGATTAAAGGATAAAAGATAGGAAAACTTCTGGATGAACTTGAACGTCTAAGAGGAGAATCAAAGAGATTGTGATAGAAATTAACTTTTTATAGAAGGATGTAAAAAGAGCAGCAAGAGGTCCTTCTATGTCAGATCCATTTTATATAAGCACTTAAAGACCATGAAACACTCCTCATTATAAATTGAGAGTAATATGTTTTATTTTGTACTAGATGAATTACATAAGTATCTATTTTCACCTCTTCCCTGTTGTCCGCTCTCTCTTCAGGCTCAGACGAGTCTCTAGAAGCCCTCTTTCTTCTGGTTAGGAGAGTTTATAAAGAAAAAGAAGATCAAATGTTTGACATCAGACAAACAGACTTTTAATGATTTAACAAACAACGATTAAGATGATCCGATCTGCTCACCTGATCCACAGGAAGACAGAGAGAGAAATGACAGCCAGGAGAACAACAGGGATTGTTACAAAAGATAGTAGGTTCTGTGATCCTGAGAAACAGAGATCAACAGAGAACAGACAGTTAATACAGCGGTGTGTCCTTAATATGGATACAAGGACCCCTAGGGGCACTTTGGAGTAATGCAGGGGGTGTAACACTTTATTTCAACAAGTCCTCCAACTCATATGACCAAATAGGTCGATTGTTCAAGCCCTTATTACGACCAAATATGTTGTTCAAGCGCTTAATACAACCTATAATCACGTTTTAAAGTTTTCGCCCTCTAGTGCTCCTGTTGATTGCAAATGTTACAGACGGTCGTTTATTCACAAATACAATTGTAGAATAGATTGGCCATTAAAATGCTTTTAGATTGCTAGCGAGAAGTGTATATTGTACTTTTAGAATCCACGTCCAGTCGATATGTAGGATCTATAGTTTGATAGATATCACGAAGATGATTTGAGGTATGCGGCAGCTTCCATGTAAAGTTACGGGTTGAAAACATTATTTCCGGTCTCAACGTTTTCATAATAAAAACCAATGATCAAATGATTTAACAGTGATATCTGCAGTACTCATCCACTAAAAAACATCAGTTTATCCTTGTTAATTATACGACATTAATTGGTTTAAATTGTGTGCAATGCTTTTGTGTTTTTCCCATAGGTTTTTCTGTTTCGATTCTGAGAGACACATTTATTTGTTCAGAGGTTTTGATAGGCTAAAACATCGAACTACACCCATAATCATGAATGTTTTAGCCGCAATGCACGTCGGGATATGGTGTTTATGCGATATGAAATCGGAAAACTTTTTTTTTTTAAAAGAATACTTTATTCCGAGTGTTCTTGCTTTTCTCTTTGAAAGTCATCACATAACGGCATTGTAATACACGGTTCGGCTGCATTAAATATTACATATCTGCCGTAGATATTTATTTATAGAGCCCTGATCAGAAGACCTTTTGACAAACTGGAAGAGATGCCGCCAAAACTGAATACGTGACGTGGACCATAAATATATCAACAATTAAACAACATCTTCCATTTATTTTCACACAATACGTCTCCTTGCAGTATCAACACTAATTCGGCTGACTTTTATTTGATCCAATTAGTAGATGGTCTGTATTTACACGATAACGGTGCACAGCTGATATAAAGGGACTTGTAGTTTTTTAAGATATTACTGATTTACTGAACTACCTTTCCAACTCCTCATGCAGCTGACTGTTACAGGTATATACAGGTTCATGGTACAATGCATAAGCTTCAAATCGAGAGACTGAAACTGTATTTTCCTTTACCTTTCTGTTTTAATTTCACAATAAAATTAATAGTCATATGTTTGATATTATTAAGTTTCATTAACTACACCACTGGTTTTTAACCCGTACCGCCTAGTGGTTAAAGCACGTTATTGAATTTTGTTGTTGAATAAGTTATATTTGATGAAAACATTTAAATATTAAGAGTAGCCTACATAGAAAATAGGGGGAAAGTAGAAGGCATGATAGAAATATAAAATATCAAGAAGATACTGCTGCCCATCATGGACACAATCAATTTTCACCCATTTATTAATTATTTGTTATAAATTTGATATCCCCTAAACCTCCAGGGGTGTACACAGTTTAATACTGGCAACTTCTAATTGTGGGAAATACGAAAACGTCTTTTTAAAACTACAATTCCCAGTAGAGACGTGCCATAGAACATGTTACGAAACGATAGTTACGGCTGTAACTACGGTTCTATGAGGCCCGCATGACCACCAGAGGCGGTGCTTTAGCACTGGATATGTCCATCGCGCGCATGCGCAGCTCGAGTACCAATAACAACAAAGTCACCTGTGACCCACGTGACACCGGCTATATCAGCCGGTGTCGTCAGAGGATCTGTTCCCAGAATCTTCTCGCGAGCACACAAGAATTCTGAGTGACAGGATACTCTGGCAGCCATCCGGGACTCATAGAACCGTAGTTACAGCCGTAACTATCGTTCTATTTCGTCCCTACTGACCGCCAGAGGCGGTGCTTTAGCACTGGATGACCTATACCAACCATGTCATGAAGAATCCAAGCACTTACTCACCTAGCTGGAAGCAGCGGAGCTTGGCAACAGGACCACACCCAGAGGGTGAGGAGTGGCGACATTGACCCGGTAGAACCTGGAGAATGTGCCAGAAGACGACCATGACGCCGCGCGCGCAGATGGCCTCCAGGGGCACCCCTCTTAGGGCAGCCCACGATGTTGAGATGCTTCTTGTAGAGTGGCATCTGGCCCCTGATGGCGGGGGGCGGCCACTGGGCCCATAGGCATATGTGATGGTATCAACCACCCAGTGGGACAGCCGCTGTTTCGAGAGAGCACGACCCTTCCTAGTGCCGCCATGGCAAACGAAGAGCTGCTCTGACTGCTGTATACAGGCCGTAGCATCAATATACGCCCTCAGGGCACGCACAGGGCACAGCAACTCAGGTGTGCCGCTCTCCTGTGGAATGTTAAAGCGTGCCAGCTGGATAGGCCGATTGGAGTGGGCTAGTGGAAGCACCTTGGGCAGGAACGCCACATTCGGCCAGAGGGTGACACCCGAGCCATCGGAGTTCCACCTCAGGCATGTACTGCTTACGGAGAGGGCATGAAGCTCTCCGACTCGCTTCCCTGAGGTTACGGCAAGCAGAAATGCTGCCTTCAGGGACAGCCACTTAAGCCCGACCTGGGCCAGGGGCTCGAAGGGAGGAGATGATAGGGCATCCAGCACTAGGGGCAGGTCCCAAGCCGGGGCCCTTGGGGTGCTAGGGGGACGCTGCCGTAGAGCCCCTCTTAGAAAGAGGGACACCAACCTGTGGCGCCCCACTGTGTCGCCATCGACTCCGACATGTCGGGCAGAGATCACAGCCATATACACCTTCAAAGTGGAGTGAGAACGTCCACTGTCCAGAAGGGACTGCAGGAACTCTAAAATGGTGGCCACGGAGCAATGTCCCGGATTCTCAGCCTTACTCACACACCAGTGGGAGAAGAGCTTCCATTTGCACTCATACTGTGCCCGAGTGGATGGAGCTCTGGCATTCAGGATAGTTTCCCTGACAGATGCCGTGACACCGCTCAACAGTGGGTTGGGCCCTGCAGAGGCCAAACCCAGAGCTGAAGGCGGTGAGGGTCGGGATGCCAAATCTGACTCTTGAGCTGTGACAGAAGGTCCTTCCTGTCGGGGAGACGCCAAGGTGGGCTGCAGCAGAGACTGCGCAGCAGTGGGAACCAGACTCTCCCCGGCCAGCGGGGGGCGACCAGAAGGAGCCTGTGCCCCTGAGTAAGGACCCTCTGAAGCGTCTGCAGTATCAGAGGCAGCGGCGGGAAGGCATACAGGAGTGTCCGGCCAGTCGTGCGCCAGGGCATCCTGACCCAACGGGCTGGTCACCTCCGTCCAGGAGAACCAGAGGGGGCAGTGCCTCGACTCTTCCGAGGCAAAGAGGTCAACCTCGGCCCTGCCGAAAAGGCTCCAAATTGTCTCCACCACCTCTGGGTGAAGCCTCCACTCCCCCGGTGGAGGCTTGCGCCGTGAGAGGAAATCTGCGACCTGATTCAGGTCTCCTGGCAGAAAGACTGCCCGCAGACTGGCGAGGCGGGGGAGCGCCCAAGGCAAGAGGCTCTGTGAAACGCGGAGCAGCTGTGCGGACCTGGTGCCCCCCTGGTGGTTGATTTGGGCAACGGCGGACATGTTGTCCGAACGAACGAGCACATGCCTGCCCGCCAGTTGGGGTAAAAAGTGCATGAGTGCGAGCAACACCGCCTGAAGCTCCAGCACATTGATATGGCGTGCACCTTCCTGGGCAGGCCACTGACCCTGCACAGTCCTGCCCTGCCACACCGCACCCTGAGAGACACGCATCCACAGTGACAGTCTCCCGGCGGGATGGGATGGCGCCCATGGGCACTCCCATCAGAAGATAGGCCCTATCCCTCCAGAGAGTGGAGGCACCGCTGAGACACCCTGACTCTCTTGTGCCTGTGCCGCTTGGCGTCCAAGTGAAAGTTGTTCAGCCACATCTGCATGGGGCGCAGTGACAGCTGAGGCAGCTGTCAGTCTGCCTAAGAGCCGGAGGAACTGGATGTAAGGCACCCTCTTGCCCAGTCTGAAGATGCGAAGATGGTGGGAAATGTCGTCTACACGACGAGGTGTCAAGTAGGCCCTCATGGCGACCGAATCTAGGACCATCCCCAGGTAAGTGACCTGTTGGGAAGGGACCAGGCAACTCTTCCCGGTGTTCACTGTTAGGCCCAACCGGGCTACGTGGGATGAGAGGCGTGCCGTATCCTGGGCCACTTGGGCCCGGGACGGCGCGCAAACCAGCCAGTCGTCCAGATATGGCAGGACCTTCACGCCCTGTGCCTGCAGGGGAGCGAGCGCTGCCGCAACAACCCTGGTGAACACCCTTGGAGAGAGGGAGAGACCAAAGGGAAGCACCCGGAACTGATAATGTCGGCCCTGAAAGGCGAACCTCAAGAACTTCCGGTGATGGGATGCAATTGGCACGTGGAAGTAGGCGTCCCTCAAGTCCACGGTTGTGAACCACTCCCCCTGTGCGACAACACGAAGGGTGTCTGCTGTGGTTAGCATATGGAAGGGCAATACCTTCAGGAATCTGTTGATTCCTCTGAGGTCCAGAACTGGACGGAATTAGCCAACTTTCTTGCTCACAAGAAAGTACGCCGAGTAGAACCCCCCGCCCTGAAGCAGGGGGTCCACTGGCTCGATTGCGCCCTTGGCCAAGAGGACGGACAACTCTTGGGCCAGAGCTAAGGCCTTCGCCGGGTCGTTGACGACTGTCATTCTGACCCGGCCGAAGGCTAGGGGCCGGCGTCGGAACTGCAATTCGTAGCCCTGGGTTAGGGTGGAAACCACCCAAGGGTCGGAAGTACAGGCAGCCCAGTAGCTGAGCTGCTGCTGGGAAAAACAGCCGACGACCGGCCCCGGGACTTCAGGGCCTAGCCCCCCGGCCCCTGGAGCCCCCTGTGGGGCGCCGGTAAGGCTCTGAAGCACGAGGCCGCCTGGAAGCCAGGCGACCTGGGGCACGAAAGTCATTGGCGGGTTGAGTGGGCCGCTGGGACCTCTGCAGACCACCCCTGTAAGCCGGTGGCTGAGTGCGGCTGCTAGAGCGGCCCCTGGGCCTGCTGGGAGTGGCCACGGGTCTGTGAAGACCCGAGAGCTGAACCAAACAGCTCCCCTGGCTCGACTGGCACGCTACGGAGAACTCTCCTACATGTCTCCGTTAGTGGTGACTGGGCCAGCCAAACCTGGCGACGAGTCTGTACCATAAAGGACATAACTCGTCCCAATTCCCTAGTCATTAAGGCAAAGGCCTGCAGTGATGCATCACTGAGGCCCAGCAAAGAAGGCTCGGCCGGGGCCTGCTGCAGCGAGGTGGAGACGGCCAGCATTAGATGGGAGAGGGAGTTCCCGATACGACCCATGCGTGCCGCTGCGTCGTAGGCCCTACAGAGCAGCCCATCTGTGACCCTGCACTGAGGCCGAGGGCACCTGACCTCAGGCCTTAAAGCCTCGTCAGGAGCCAGAATCAGGGAGGCAATGGCAGGCTCAATGGGTGGCATGCCACCCAGCCCCACCCTCGCCGGGTCCTGCATGGCAGCCAAGGTCCGGGCATCAGAGCCAGTGCGGCAGAGGGCCCTGGTGTCCCTCCAGTATGCCTGGAGCTCCCTCAGGTACTCCTCTGAAGGAGGAACGGTGAGGGGGACAGGGGCTGGGCTACGCCTGAAGAAGGCACTAGCCTGAACCAAGTCGGCCTGCGGAACCGGAATCTGCAGGTGCGCCAGGGCCGTACGAATAATGGCCGCCATGGAGTCATCCTCCACGCCCTGCAGAGACCCCTGAGCAGAGGAGAGGGAAGCCTCCTCGAGCGGTACCTCGTCCTCCGTCTCTTAATTGAAGAGGTTAGCCGAAGCCGCTAGCGACAAGGCATCCTCATACAGAGGTGCGGCAACCGAAGGAGGGGCGGCAACCGAAGGAGGGGCAGGCGGCACACTAGCAGCCCCTATACCGGGCCCTGGCTGAAGGGCCAAGAGGAGCGACTTCATCGTGTCCATGTCTGTAGCTAGCTGATCCACTTTAGAGGACAGCCTGTTTCTAGTCCTCCTATTGGGGGGTGCACCCATGGCCATCGCTCCCTCAAGTCGCCGGGGACGGCCGAACTGATCTGGAGGAGGATGTGACCAGGAGGATGTGACCAGGAGAGGTGTCCGTTGGCTGCCGCCAGACGTTCCACCTCAGTGATTCTAGCCACTCTGAGTGCCCGGGGCATGCAGCTGCAGTTCATGCAGGCACCTACCGTGAGAGCCTCCCTTAGATGCTCGAGGCCGAGGCAAGAGGGGCAGCGGTCGTGGCCGTCCTCTGACTCAAGAGAAGCCATACAGGCGCTACATGAATGAGCCATTCTGTAGGTAGCCAGATGCAGAGTAGCCGGGAGCGGGTGCGGGAACACAGCCTTCACCCGCTACCTGCTTAACGGAAAGAGTAGAGCCGCGCCGCTACTCGCCAAACCGAAAGAGGGATGTAATTACACTCACGTTACCGGCAGAGGGAGCGGGAGCGAGAGCACTGCCTTCACCTAGCTGGATTAATAACTAAGGCAGTTTACCAGGAGCGGGGGCGAGAACACTGCCTTCACTGGTTGAGAGCTAGAGGCGAGTGCCAGATGCAGCGTAACCGGGAGCGGGTGCGGGAACACAGCCTTCACCAGCTACCTGCTTAACGGAACCCAGGCAGTTTAGCATCTACCAGGAGCGGGGGCGAGAACACTGCCTTCACTGGTTAAATTAAGACGAATGCCAGATGCAGCGTAACCGGGAGCGGGTGCGGGAACACAGCCTTCACCAGCTACCTGTTTAACGGAAAAAACAAGGCAGTTTAGCGTCTACCAGGAGCGGGGGCGAGAACACTGCCTTCACTGGTTAAATTAAAGACGAATGCCAGAGGCAGCGTAACCGGGAGCTGGTGCGGGAACACAGCCTTCACCAGCTACCTGCTTAAAGGAATAAACAAGGCAGTTTAGCGTCTACCAGGAGCGGGGGCGAGAACACTGCCTTCACTGGTTACATTAAAGACGAATGCCAGATGCAGCGTAACCGGGAGCGGGTGCGGGAACACAGCCTTCACCAGCTACCTGCTGAACGGGAAGAGTAGAGCGGTGCTGCTACTCGCCGAACAGAAAAAGGGATGTAGCTACACCCACGTTACCGGCAGAGGGAGCGGGAGCGAGAGCACTGCCTTCACCTAGCTGGGTAACTTCTAAAGACAAAACAGCACGGGAAACTCCGGTGCTTAACCCGGCGTCAGCCGAGTGGCTGCAGCCGCTACTGCTAACTAGCCAAACAAGAAACACAGCTCAATGCTAATGAATTTTGGCACAACGCCGCGGCCAGAACAAGTACAGCAAGGGCAACTCCTGGGAGAGGGAGCGGAAACACCTCCGTCACCAAAAAAGTTCAAGCCCAAAAGCACACAGACAGTAATCAGGACAACTAGGCTGGGAGAGGGAGCGGAGACACTGCCATCACCAACCAAGCCGACACCAACCTGTCCGAACGAAGTCTCAGCCACAGCTCCTGGAGGATGGGTAAGCCCGCGGCCCCGACTGGATGAGTCGCGAAGCTGCACGCAGCCAGCTGTTTGCAGAGAATTCTTGACAAATGTTCCAACCGAACGAACGCTGTAGGCTACAAAAATGTAGCCAAGGTACTCTCGCGCAGCGAGCAGATGAAAGGAACAGATCCTCTGACGACACCGGCTGATATAGCCGGTGTCACGTGGGTCACAGGTGACTTTGTTGTTATTGGTACTCGAGCTGCGCATGCGCGCGATGGACATATCCAGTGCTAAAGCACCGCCTCTGGCGGTCAGTAGGGACTAAATAGAACACACAATAGCCAGCATTTGTAGTTCTGGGGGGGGCTGGGCTGGACCCGTCCAATTCCGTCCCGCCTCGACCATTACTGGTCAAACATCACCTTCACTTTGGACTATGTGACTGTTGCCAGCATCCACAGTAAATAAAGAATCAGTGATCTACTTATTTATTTATGAGCGACTAAAAGGCCTTAGGCCTATTACAGCCGTATCCTATTGATTGACTGAATTCCAGTTTTGGAAAGTCTGCCGTCGTTCCATTCCATTTCAAAGAGCTGTTTGACGCTCGGCGTAACCTTGTCGCACTGCCACTCCAACATCCAATCACAGAGCTTGAGGACTAATCACGGGGTTTGTAAAGCAAGGCGGATGTTGTAGTCCCAAACGATAGCTGGGGATTCTGGGTAGTGGAGTGTCTTCGGAAACTGTAGTGTCTAAACTCCTAAAAAACTATTTGTTTCTCTGAATCGAAGGTTAAAAACACAAAAGTATTGTACACAATTTAAACCAATCAATATTGTGTAATTAACAAGGATAAACTGATGTTTTGTAGTGGATGAGTAATGCAGATATCACTGTGTAATCATTTGACAGTGAGGGGAATATATCCGGTTTTATTATGAAAACTTAGAGACCGGAAAAACTGTTTTCACCCCGTGAGGGTTGACGCTAACTTTACATGGAAGCTGTCGCATATACACGTTATCCTGGCGAGACCTCAAATCATCTTCGTAATATCTATCAAACTATAGATCCTACACTTCCACTGGACGTGGATTACCAAAGTACAATATACACTTCTCGCTAGAAATCTAATAAAGCATTTTAATGGCCAAACTATTCCACAATTTAGGATTTTCCAGAGAGGGTTATTTGTGAATAAACGACCCCCCGGAGCGTTTGCAATCAACGGGACCATGTTGTTTCTTACACAACCACTAGAGGTGCTACACTTTAAAACGTGACTCTGGGTTGTATTAAATGTAAGTTGTGTCCTGGCGGGTCAAAGAGCCTATCTACTGCCCCAACCAGCAATTCAAATCTCTTAAAACATCTGCAAAAACAACATGCTGGGACGATGCTAGTAACTAAGACCGGCACAGACCCAAACTCATCCAACGCCACTCCACCTCCACCTAAGCAACAGCGGCTGGATTTTAACCAAGGGACTGCTAGCCAGGGAAAAGTCGATAAAGCCATTGCACGGTATGTTGTAGAACACATGCAGGCTATTGCTACAGTGGAGTCACCCGCTTTCAGGGAGCTAGTTAGCATGATAGCATGTCCGGGCGGCACACGGCATATGGAACGGAAAACTTTTTCCAACTACCTGGAGAAAGAATATACAAAAATGGAAAGCCAGCTAATATCGATGCATTATATGCAGATTGCATATAATGCATGTCAAGTTGATCAACAGATTGTATTATTCTCTAATGCAATAACAGTACTGAAATGAAGGCTATAAGGGCATTAATGGGAGCCCTTTTTTTAAGTAACTAAAACGTTACTTTTCACAGTAACGCATTACTTTTGGGTGTAAGTAATCAGTAAAGTAACTGAGTTACTTTTGAAATGACACAACACTGCTTCTCAATACTGATGGAATATCTCTCAGCCTGTGGGCACTTGCACTTGGCATAAGCTTCACAAAACAGACACAACTCTCACTCTGAGTACAAAGGGAATGAATGCACCCCATACTGAATCTGGACCCTCAGGATAATTATTTCCTCTTGTAAAAGAAAGGAAACAACCCCTATCCCGAACCGGAAAGGTACATTTGAACATGCAGTCCTTTTTCAGCCTCCTACCCAGACAATGTGACTGAAAACAAACAAGCTGATAAGTGTGTGGTTGTAGATGAATGCATAAAACGTACCTGCCACAACAATCAGATGAAAGGTGGAGTTACTACGTCCTAACTTGTTCTGGGCTCCACAGGAATAACTCCCACTGTGTTCAGCTCTGAAGTCAGTGATGGTGAAGATCTGTCCTGAAGCTTTTGGAGAGTCTTCATCCTCCTTGTACCAGGTGTAGTTAGCTGCTGGGTTAGCATCACTGCTACAGGTGAGAGTCACTGAACTGCCCTCCTCTATCTCAGCAGAGGGACTCACTGACACAGAGGGAGGCTTTGGAGAGTCTGGGAAAGAAAACATTAATACATTTAATATTACATTTGAAGATGAGTTTTTACATTGGAAGATCATTTTAACTGATAAAAGTTCATAAAAAGAAAATCAATCAATCAATGTATATGTATATATATATAGCAATACCAGAGGGACTAACTAACACAGAGGAACGCTTTGGAGCATCTGGAGGAAATACAATAAATCAACAAAATATTACAAATACATCATGTTGAATTGAGTATTGAAAAGAGACAGTTATTTTTGTGGGTGCATTTGAAATATGGAAGTGTTTTTGACTGGGAGAAAGCTGAAAACAGTTATGTTGTTTAAATATATTTAGTTTCCTGTATTACTGCTGGCTTGAAAACCCTGGACATAGGAGCAGATTTGGGAGCCAAATGTAAACATGAATGGATTATCATCATCGACTGTAGCTGCTCTCCATCTCATTGACCTAAAGCAACATACTGTGAACAACGTGTTCATTGGGTGCATGATGCTTTTTAAATCATCTGGGTTTTACTCACATTTCACATCGATAGAGAAGGGATCAGATATTGTACTCCCAAGCAGATTATCAGCTCTGCAGTAATACTGTCCAGAGTCAGAAGATTGGATGGAGCTGAGGACAAGACGTGGTCCTTCATTGACAGAAGAAAGGTCTGCATTTTGTTCCGTCTTGTACCAGGTGTAGTTAGCTGCTGGGTTAGCATCACTGCTACAGGTCAGAGTCACTGAACTGCCCTCCTCTATCTCAGCAGAGGGACTCTCTGACACAGAGGGGAGCTTTGGAGCATCTGGAGGAAAAGTGTTTAAAGTTATTAACATTAAAGTAGATATGTCAACTTGCAAATGTCCAGAGGCACAAAGCAGGAACAGTTTTTCACAAACACAATGCTAAACATTTTAAAGCTTTGGAGCATCTGGAGGAGATAACATGACCACATTTCACATTTTAATTCCACGGTGGAGGATATTTTAAATGAGAAATAGTTGAACCCTTAGATGCACGATTGACTGGACCCTACACTCTTCCATAAGTGGGTCAAAAAGGACCCGTATTAGAATAATATGTGTTTTTATGCCATTTTTGTAATTTTGGTAAAGAAAAATCACTTGTATTATATTTGGGTTCACATCAGAAATATTTTATATTTAATCTTTCACTATTTATAATTTTAGAAACTTTTTACATTTAAAAAAAAAAAAACCGAAATTCCATTTTTGACCCAGTTATAGAAGCTTGGGGTAGTAATACAAAAACTACAATTTATTTAAATGTATAACATTTACAATTTGAATGGCATGATATCCAAAACATGTTTTTTGAGGAATAGCTGGAATATGAAATTATATAAAAATGTAATTACAAAGATACTTCACGAAAACCACCTCACCGGGTCAAAAAAGACCCACTTATGCATCTAGGTTAATAAAACACAGAGTGGGTGGTTAACACGCTGTCATTGGAGGCAGTCGCAATTTCTACAGGCTCGCACTTACCTGTTAGCATCTGTTAGCATCTGTTAGCATCTGTTAGCATCTGTTAGCATCTGTTAGCATCTGTTAGCATCTGTTAGCATCTGTTAGCATCTGTTAGCATCTGTTAGCATCTGTTAGCATCTGTTAGCATCTGTTAGCATCTGTTAGCATCTGTTAGCATCTGTTAGCATCTGTTAGCATCTGTTAGCATCTGTTAGCATCTAGCGGCATCTGTTAGCATCTGTTAGCATCTAGCGGCATCTAGCGGCATCTAGCGGCATCTAGCTCTCCTGCTTACAAACTTTTAGCCATCCCTGCTTATACAAGTAGTAGTTTTAGTTGTCTGCGAACTGTGGAGGCCTACTCCCACCTGTCGAGTGCGGCTGTACTGAGGTGTTTTTCCTCCGGAGACGTCGCGAAGAGACGGAGCGGCTCCACCTGTTTGCTGCCTGCTATCTGCGATCTACGGAGGCCTGCTCCCACCTGTAGAATACGGCTGTACTGGAGAGGTTTTTTACCCCAGAGTCGTCACGGAGAGACGGAGTGGATCCACGCTTCGGGCTTGGCCTGCTTCCACCGGGCGTGTGCTGCTGTGCGGAGGAGGATTTTACCACCGCTGGGGCCTGCTTTCCACCTGTCCTGGTTCTGCTGTTGCAGAGGCCTGCTTTCACCCCGGGGATACCACGGAGGGACCGGAGCGCTTCCACGCTGCTGTTTTCGCCTGTCCTTTGCTGCTGTGCTGATTTTGCTCCAGGAACATCGCGGATACTGTGTGCTGGTCTGGGAAAATGGCCCATATCGGGATTCTGCTGTGCCTGTTAACTGTTTTGGACTATGAGAAGATCTCTAGTCATTCTGAGAAGTCTACTGGATTCAGGTCTGTTCTGCCACCCGCAGTGGGCATCCCCTGCAAAGGTTCGGATGTGTTGCTCAAACAATTACCGGTTGCCTTGTCACAGACAATCTGCTCGACAAAATATGTTTGTCTTTTTTATTTTCCTGCGATGATGGTTCTTCAGGACTGCTTCTTAAGCTCTAATCACACTCTCGCAGACTTTTCCGGTGTTTCTAAATTAGATGACAATGTATTTGTGTCGTTTAAGAGGAAAATATGCCTGTTTTTGTTGTTGTTATTACTGTCAGGAAATGTACAACCTAACCCTGGTCCGCCCAGTAGTAGTAGTCAGATCGCTACTCCTGCTGATTTTAAAGCTAGGTCTGGGTTGGGTTTCATCCACTTGAATGTGCGCAGTCTGTTAGGTAAACTAGATTTTGTCCGTATCTGGGCGAGCTCGACTGATGCTGACGTCATTGTCTTATCAAAAACATGGCTAAACAAATCTATTTTGGCCTCTGACATTGCCTTAAATGGTTTTAATGTGTATCGTACCGACCGGCCTAATAAAGGTGGTGGCGTTGCCATTTATGTTAAGAATAAGTTCAGTGTAACCACATTAGTTTCCAAATCGATCAGTAAGCAATTTGAATTTTTAGCCATAAATATAGAAGTGGCAAAGGGTCAACAGGTCATGGTCGTGAGCTGTTACAGACCCCCCTCAGCTGGCAAGGACTCCTTGTCTTCACTAGCAAATCTTTTATCACAACTAGACTACAAGGAAATAGTGCTACTTGGAGATTTTAACTGGGACTGGTTAACTGCAGTGTCAGAGGATTTTAAAAACCTTTGTATCTCTTTCAATGTTACTCAGATTGTTGACAGTCCTACTCGCCCAAATATTAAGTCCCCTAATAAATCCTCCCTAATTGATCTAATTTTAACTAATGTTCCCCATAAATATTCATCTGTGGGAGTATTTGCAAATGATCTGAGCGATCACTGTGTTGTAGCCACAATTAGGGACACCAAGGTCCAAAAGGTTAAACCTCGCATTATCATTAAGAGAGACAAAAAACATTTTGTTGAGCAGGGTTTTGTGCATGATCTGTTTGATTTTGATTGGGGTAAAATTGATCTGTGTGCTGATGTGGAAACCGCATTGTCTTATTTTTATCTTGGTTTTATGGAGATCATTGATAGACATGCACCCCTGCGTACATTTAGAGTAAAGGGACGATACAATCCTTGGTTTTCTGCTGAGCTGTCTAGTCTCCTTCATGAGAGAAACAAGGCCTGGGCAAAGGCTAGGCAATCAGGCTCAGAGGTAGAGTGGCTGTGTTTTAGGCAGCTAAGGAATAGCTTCACTTCAAATGTCAAAACTGCAAAGTCGAAGTACTATTTGTCAGTTACCACAGAAAACCTAAATAATCCTAGGAAATTTTGGAAAGCAATAAAATCGATATCCACCGGTGAGATCCGTAATGAGCTACCTCCGTCCCTTACCACAGCATCTGGCACTATATCGGACAGGGCCACTATGCTAAATTGCTTTAATGAGCATTTTGTGTCCTGCGGTTCTATGTTTGATTATGTGACTAACTCTGCTTCTGTGAACACCCCAATCCGTGACTCTGAACAATGTGGTCTGGAAAACCCTTTCAGTTTTACTCCTTTTACTGTCAATGTTGTTCATGAAGCCTTATCTAAGCTAGATCCTAAGAAACCGGCTGGCCCGGACAACGTAGAACCTTTCTTTTTAAAGATAGCTGCAGATTTTATTGCTCTACCTCTTACTTCTCTTTTTAACCTCTCCCTCAGCACAAATGCAATTCCAAAAGTATGGAAGTCAGCGTATGTCTTGCCTTTGCTAAAAGGAGGGGAGGCAACTATTTTAAATAACTATAGGCCAATCTCTAAGTTCTCAGTTCTGGCGAAGGTGCTCGAACGCCTAGTGAGTGAACAGGTAAAGGAGTTTTTATGTAAAAATGACATCCTGTCTAAACATCAGTCAGGCTTCAGAAAGCAACACAGCACCATCACTGCCACAATGAAAGTGGTGAATGACATTACGAGTATTTTAGACAATAAGCAGAGTTGTGCAGCTCTATTTATTGACCTTTCCAAAGCGTTTGATACCGTCGATCATCGCATCTTAAAGCAGAGGCTACTCAGTATCGGCATATCCAGCCATGCAGTGGGGTGGTTTGTGAACTACCTCTCTGAAAGGTCCCAATGTGTTCACTTTGATGGGCTGTCTTCTGAGTGGTTGAACATTGCTAATGGTGTTCCTCAAGGTTCTGTTTTAGGTCCACTTTTATTCTATATCAACAGTTTAGGTGAAAATGTGGATGAAGCTACTTTACATTTTTATGCTGATGATACCGTGATGTATTGTGCAGGTCCCTCCATTCAGGAGGCTGGTGTTAAATTACAGGCTGTTTTTAACATTATTCAGACTCAGCTCTCTGAACTTAAGCTTCTTTTAAATGTTGATAAAACCAAGGTAATGCTATTTTCAAAAGCTAAAAAGACACCAGAGCCTGTTTTGGATATTGTTTCTATGCAAGGACAAGTACTTGAAGTGGTTACCAGTTATAAATACCTAGGTATCTGGCTTGATGATTGTCTTACTTTTAAACTTCATGTCAATAACCTGCTTAAAAAGCTGAGGGTTAGGCTAGGTTTCTTTTTCAGAAACAAGTCCTGTTTCTCGCTTGAGGCCAGGAAAAGGCTCTGTGACCTTTTTACCTGTGCTGGACTATGGTGATTTGTTGTATATGAATGCACCTGCCTATTGCCTGAACAAGTTAGATGCAGCCTATCACAGCGCACTGAGATTTGTCACAAATTGTAAAGCACTTACTCATCACTGTACCCTGTATGCCAAGGCAGGTCTGCCATCCCTTACTGTAAAGAGGCTCAGTCATTGGTGCACGTTTATTTATAAAGCTTTGTTGGGTAAACTCCCGTATTATATCTGCTCTCTGATAACAGAGAGTTGCAAGCAGCTATAGTCTGAGATCGCATGATGTAGTATTGTTAGATGTGCCAAGAGCAAGGACTGTCTCAGGTAAGACAGCTTTTATGTCCGCAGCTCCACTTGCTTGGAACAATCTTCAGCAAGAATTGAAACTGAGCAATCTCATTCCTCTGCATGTTTTTAAAGCTAGGCTAAATTAAATGCTTGTTGATACTATGGGCACTTGTAAATGTCTATAACTATGTAAATGTATCCTGTAAATATAATGTATGATGTCCTTTATTGTTTTATGTTTCATGTGGAACCTATATGCTGCAGGTCTCCCTTGAAAAAGAGATCTATGATCTCAATGGGACCAATCTCGTTAAATAAAGGTTTGAAATGAAATGAACTTGATTCCATCCTTTATCAGAAATCTAAACACTTTGAGGGAAAGAGTTAATCTTTATGTCATGGAAGAAGTTTCCTTCATAATTCTCGCTTATTCTTCTTTCTAGTAGCATCTCTCGTAGCAAGAGTATATTTTACCTATTTTAAAATCAAACAGAAAACCTAGAGCCCTGGTTCAGTGTCTTTGGACACTGCCATGTCTGCTGGCGGCCTCTGGTGGGTAAATAGATAAATGAGTATAATGATGATATATGTTATACTGTATGTTAATGTTATTATGTCAGTGGAAGACTTTGAGTGAACTCACACACTGAAGGAGAGGGGAAGTCCTCATATCCCTTCAAAGCACAGGAAGAACTGTCTGCTGGATCATATCGGAAGTCTGCATAAGAAGATGTCTCTTCCTTCACTTCCTGTCCATTCTTAAACCAGATGTAGGAAGTATGACCAGGTGGACAACTGCTGAGACACTGAAGGTGAGTCGACAATCCTGATCTGCTCACATTCACCTGGAGATCTGAATAAAAGTATAATTTCACAAAAAAAACATCATGTTTAAAAATTAAAATTAAAATAACATTTTAAATATCTCAGAAGGACATTTTCAGATACCTGTGACGGACAAAGTTACTGGAATACCCCAGAATATATCTTTGCTTGTTTTGAACCTGAACCTGAACTCAGCTGAGTCGCTCTCTGTCAGGTTTCTGATTCTCAGAGTGCAGTTGTTGTTTTCACAGAGATTCTCTACACGACCTGCGTACTCTGAGTCTGTTTTCGGATCTACAAGTTGAGCACCTTCCTTTTGAGTCAACCAGAATGTTTTCTGTACTGTGTTTTCACCACGTTTCCATCTAGATGGGTATGTGTAGCTGCATCTTATCTCCACTGTTGATCCTTTCACTGCACAGATCTCAGTAGAAGAGTAAGTCACTCCCCAGACACGCTGACCCTGAACCACTGAAACACAGAGCACATCAGAAACTATGATCAAAGTGAATAACTTAAGTTAACAATTGGTTAATAACAAACAGTGCATCAAACTACAAATGTGTTTATGGAGTTTTTTGTAACAAGAACTTCAAGATCTGCAATTATCAGCAGACATTATAAACATGAATCTATCTAACTAGAGCTGAAAATGAGAACTATATGATGTTTTTATGGAAGTTGAGCTTCTAAAATGTAAAAAATATATACATTTTATACACTAGAGAAGGGGAGCATATCAAGTCACCTGTTAATTCCTTTTAAGGGAGTTGATAACTGTTGCTAAATTAAACCAGAACATACAATGTGTTAAAATGCCTGCATGAACAGTACAAGATTAGGAATATTATTAATTGTACAAATCTGTGCTTTTCTGGTCCAGTTTCCTCTCTGTTCGCTCTGTGGTCAGGTTGCTGCTGAGGTCAGTGCGACAAATTAAAATGAATGCAGAACACTGAGGTGTGAACAGCTTCTGTCTGATATACAGATAAGAAAAAGAAGAAGACTGCTTTAAACTCAGAGAGTGGGAATATAACAGCGAGGTCAGAGAGGAGAGAAGGAACTTTTATTAATCCCTCGTGGGGAAATTGTTTCTCTGCATTTGACCCATCCTAGTGTTAGGAGCAGTGTGCTGCCATTTTGAACAGCGCCCGGGGAGCAGTGTGGGGAACGGTGCGTTGCTCAGGGACACCTCGGTAGCACTTGGTCTTGCCGGGACTTGAACTGGTGACCTTCCAGTTGCCAAGCCAAGTCCCTATCGACTTCGCCACCACTGCCCAGTATGGCAACATAAGAGTTAAGTCAATATGTTATGACATTTAAGAGAATATCTCTCTAATCACTTAAACTTAAAGGGGACCTATCATGCTAAATGCACTTGTTTATGTCTTTTATACATGAATATGTGTCCCCGGTGTGTCAGGGAACTCACCAAGTGTCAGAAAACACAACCCTCTCTCTTTTCCTCCATACCCAAATCTCTAAAAACTATGGAGGACGGAACATGACTTAAGTATAAATAAATAATTGTATGAAGAAATACAGGAATAAATAAATAAATACGTAAATAAATAAATAAATAAATACAGGAATAAATAAATGACGAAATAAATACAGAAATAAATAAATGTTGAAATGAATACACAAATAAATAAATAAAAGAATAAATGCATAAATAAATATGGAAATAAATACATCAATGTATAAATAAATAAATAAAAGTCGAAAAATAAAACAGAACACACGTTATTATATATCTTTCATTTATTTCTACATTTACGCGACATACATTTATTTATTTATGTATTTATGTGTCCGTATGCTAATGAGGTGGGCAGTCCTAACCTCAGTCTGAAGCAGGATTGGTTACAGGAGTGTGTGATCATTTCTGGCAGAGGGCTCTACTACTAACGCCTGGATAACCGCCCTGATTCGAATGCAGGAGCTTTACTGTTTAGCCCTTATCTTTATACATCCATGGTTTATCCACAGTTGTAAGGTTTATTTATGGATATTGATTTAAGAGCCATTGGAGATCATTTACGATCATTAGCGGACCATTTAGAGAACGGAGAACCAAAAGACTATGTCCAGTTTCGTGTGGAACGATGTATAGAGGACTTGGCTCAGCTCGTCATGATGTGACTTGCCACAAATCTATTGCTTCTGCCTGGCTCCAACAATTGGCGAATCCTGCTTCAGACTGAGGTTAGGACCGCCCACCTCATTAGCATACGGACACATAAATACATAAATAAATAAATGTATGTCGCGTAAATGTAGAAATAAATGAAAGATATATAATAACGTGTGTTCTGTTTTATTTTCGACTTTTATTTATTTATTTGTACATTGATGTATTTATTTCCATATTTATTTATGCATTTATTTATGCATTTATTCTTTTATTTATTTATTTGTGTATTCATTTCAACATTTATTTATTTCTGTATTTATTTCGTCATTTATTTATTCCTGTATTTATTTATTCCTGTATTTATTTATTTATTTACGTATTTATTTATTTATTCCTGTATTTCTTCATACATTTATTTATTTATACTTAAGTCATGTTCCGTCCTCCATAAAAACGGGGCTGCAACGGATCTGATAAAGATTTGAATTGTTCTGACATCAGAAAAGGGGTGCTCCGCCTATATGGGCAACTCTCCACCTATCAGGGGAATGGGGGGTTGGGCCACGGCCGGCCATTGCCGCTCGAAAGCGCTGGAGACGTTGTAGTACATATGCCAGGCCTGTAAGTGGCGCTGTAGTCTGCCACAAAGGCAGGGAAGAAGACTTCTCACAGATTCAGCCCTTGCAAAAACATGGCTGGAATACAGCAAATAAAGCGAAATGAGGCATGGCTAAAATGCATGATCTGTTTGGTATTTTGAAAAAAAAACTTCACAGACATGTTTTATATAGGTATGGCCAGGGTGGGAATTTCACGACGGCCATGGCCATCGTTGCCCCGCACTTTGGCCGTGATGGCCCGTGAAAAAAAATGCAATTCACGGCCAAAGTGGCCTTTGTGCCCCTGTCAAAAGTTCCAGTGTAAACAACACTAGTGAAGTCATACTAGTGCGCGCAGTAGGATAGTCCCGTGCGATGCCTGTGCCCTGTGGATCAGAGCGATTGCTCTGCTGGGATTGTTCCGTCAGAAATGCCTGTAGGGGCCCGACAGCCTCCTCCTCAGCCGCGGGAGCAAGACAAGCACAGGTAAGCAAGCGGACCAAGCTGTTTTGATATGATTTAACTGAAGTATGTGGTAGTATTTGAAAGGACTTAACATTTACGTGTTTATAGAAAGTACTATTGATAGGTAATTACCATTGTATTAGCCTATTTAAAGTCGACTCGTTACATTTTGTCATGAAAACTAGCGATAGCTAGCTAGTTTGGATAGCGCTAACGTCTTCCCTTCAAGGGGTCTACATCTAGTGTTGCTTCTACAAGCTAGCAGATAGCTGTCACCTTTGAATCTAGTATTTTTCTTGCTAAGCGGTTTTGATATAATACATGACTGACTTATGTGGTTTATGGCTGAACTTAACATATACGTTTAAGAAACACTATTGCTATTCAGCCATTTGTAAAACGACTGGTGTTGACGTTAGTGCTACACTTTTCAGTCATGTTGATTGACCAGCGTAATTTAACCAAACGGCCTTTGTGCCCTGTCATGAGGCCTTTGTGCTCTGTCATGTGGCCTTTGTGCCCTTAAAAAAAATGTGAACGGGAAGGCCAAATGGCCTTGCCCCTAAAATGACGAAATTCCAAGCCTGGGTATGGCCCTACAATATATTATTCAAATATAGCATGATAGGTCCACTTTAATAAAAAACAGAGCTGGCGATTCTTCAAGTCGTCTTAAGAAAAAAACAAAGCAAAATGTTTTCACAGAGAGAGAGGATGCAAGTGTTATGCATACACTAAATGACTCGAGAAAAGGACAGTGAGGACAAGACAAAGCCAGTTGAGTAGCACTTGAAATGTTTTGGCTCTATGAAACCTGATGTACTTATATGATTCTGTTACCTTCAAGTTTGTATCTTCTTGGTCAAATGCACTTATTTTAAGTTGCTTTGGATAAAAGCGTCAGCTAAATGTAATGTAACAAGATCTTCAGAATATTCATCGAAAAAACGTTTTTGTGTTTTGAAAATTCTACACTCAAATAAATTAATGTTTCTGCTAGGTTTGCCTTTTACACAAATCCATCCCACTTATTCCCACATGTGACCTGCTTTAACAAGTCCCACATTTCCCAGAATCCCATCTGTTCATGTGATGAATGAGTACAGTAAGTGTAGATGTACAGTACCTGACACAGAGAGCAGGAAGACGACTAATCCACTCGCTGCTGCAGTTAGACTCATAGCTGCTCCTCTCATCTCTGTGAGACTATAAAACATGTCAGATTAAATAATGTTCACAGGAGGTTTACAGAATCATTACATCAATAAACTGTTTCTACTCACAGTGAAGGAGGAACGTGCTTAAAGATGCCTTTCCTCTGTTGTCAATGAGCAGAAGACGGTTATCAGGCTGGTTAACAACCACATTTACTTCCTGTTTAGATTGTTAAAAGGCACGATGAGCAAAACCCCAGTAAAACCCACTCCACAGGAAAGTAATGTTGTTTAACGAAATAAAAACTTAAAGAGAGGTTCTTCCTATACCACTGAATCTAGAGAAGAGCATTCAAATGAAGAAGAGAATAACAGTTCATCTCTATGAGCACTGAGGTCGTCACACAGTCTGCAGGTGTAGTGAAGAAACCTGTGAACCATAAGGCAGATTTACTGAACAGGTTGATAATAATTATGGCTGTTTTAATATTAAAACCAAAGTCAAAACAAAGTACAACATGCAGCACAAACTGAAGCTTAGCTATGAGTATTTGTGTCAGTGAAGAGCAGGACTGTGGCTGTGCTGTGGTCACACACTTCACTCACTCGCACACTTCACTCACTCGCAAACTTCCCTCATTCGCAAACTTCACACATACACACACTTTACTTACACACTTCACTCACACACTTCACTACACACACTTCACTCACACTTCACTACACACACTTCACTCACACACTTCACTACACACACTTCACTCACACACTTCACTACACACACTTCACTCACACACACTACACTTCACTACACACACTTCACTCACACTTCACTACACACACTTCACTCACACTTCACTCAGTATGACAGAATGTCTTTCCTGTGTTCATGTTCTAATGTTTCTTGACAAACAGTCTTTTAATGGGTTTAACTTTTAAAGCAAACACATACAATTCTTCTTTTTTGAAATAGGTTATAGAATATTATGGACATTATTCACGGCTTATGACATTAGTTTGAATGCAATTTCACCCTTTTTATTAAATTAAATCAATACAAAACAGAACATGAAAAAGGAAAACAAATGATATACAAACCAAAGTCGGTAAACACACAAAGGAGAATTATAGTTGACAAGCTCTTGGAAATAGTTTTCTATGAATGAAATACGTCTCTTTACTAAACCCTAGTGGCAGCAATGTGGAACTGCAACTACATCATCTAACTTGTGTTCCTCTGTAATATCCCAATGTGCTTTTCAATAGCAAACATGTATATTTGCACTTAATTCATGAATATTAATTTGAATAATAAAAAAGATTAAAAAATACAATGCATATATTAACATTCAGGTTAAACCCTATCATGTTATCCTGTGGGAGATGCATGTCACTCAATCCAATAGTAGTCAAATTAAAAGTCATCCTTCAAATAATAAAGAGTTCTCATTGGAGCACCACTATTTGAACCAAATGCAAAGACAGACCATCCAAAGGTTAAAAGTCACAAAAACAAGACACTCAAAATAAATTTGTAAAAGTATGAATGTACATGAACACCATTTTATGATAATCTATTGAGTACTGGTTAGGATATTAAAGTCAGGACAAGAAGAAGACCAAGATGAAGATATATTGTATGAAAAAGGAGAGAAATGTACTTTAAAAACAATGAACAGTAAAGTATAACTAACATCAATTCAAACACCATGACACAATTCCATCAGATTAATGATAAAAACATGGAGGACATTATTCAACTTCTGAAATCCTCCTCCTGCTGCCTTGATGTTATTCCAACAGGATTTTTCAAAGATGTTTTTCGTTGCATGGCCTCAGATCTACTTCATATAGTAAACAAATCTCTTCACTCAGGTATTTTTCCACAGGCCCTGAAAACTGCAGTCATTAAACCGCTCTTAAAAAAGAATAATCTAGATGCTTCAGTAATGAACAATTACAGGCCCATATCAAACCTCCCATTTCTAGGTAAAATCATTGAAAAAGTTGTTTTTCAACAGTTGAGTAATTTCTTGCATTTGAATAACTGTGTTGATGTGTTCCAGTCAGGCTTTCGTCCAAACCACAGCACTGAGACTGCTCTTGTAAAGGTATTTAATGACATCCACTTAAACACAGACAGTGGCAGAACTTCAGTGTTAGTATTATTAGATCTCAGTGCTGCGTTTGACACTGTTGACCACAGCATATTACTAGACCGACTGGAAAACTGGGTGGGACTTTCGGAAACAGTTCTAAACTGGTTTGAATCCTACTTAAAGGACAGAAACAACTTTGTTTCTATAGGTAAATACACATCTGCGTTGACAAATATGACATGTGGGGTTCCTCAAGGCTCCATCTTGGGGCCTCTTCTCTTTAACGTCTACATGCTACCACTGGCTCAGATAATGAAGAACAACAAAATAAGTTACCATAGCTATGCAGATGACACACAAATGTACGTAACAATTTCACCAGGAGACTATGCTCCAATTTAAACACTGAGTAAGTGCATTGAACAAATCAATGACTGGATGTGTCAGAACTTTCTCCAATTAAACAAAGATAAAACTGAGGTAATGGTTTTTGGAGCCAAGGCAGAACGTATCAAAGTTAGCGCTGAGCTTCAGTCTGCAATGTTCAAAACAACAGATAAAGCCAGAAATCTAGGTGTAGTCATGGACTCTGACCTGAGTTTCAACAGTCACATTAAAACAGTCACTAAATCAGCCTACTATCACCTAAAGAATATATCTAGGTTTAAAAGACTAATGTCACAGCAGGATTTGGAAAAACTTGTCCATGCTTTTATCTTCAGTAGACTCGACTACTGCAATGGTGTCTTCACAGGTCTCACTAAAAAATCTATTAGGAAGCTGCAGCTGATTCAGAACGCCGCTGCTCGAGTCCTCACTGACACTAAGAAAGTGGATCACATCACTCCAGTTCTGAAGTCTTTACACTGGCTTCCTGTGTGTCAAAGAATAGATTTCAAAATACTGCTGCTGGTTTATAAAGCACTGAATGGTTTAGGCCCAAAATACATTTCTGACCTCCTGCTAAATTATGAACCATCCAGATCTCTCAGGTCTTCAGGGACTGGTCAGCTTTCTGTCCCCAGAGTCAGAACTAAACATGGAGAAGCAGCGTTCAGTTATTATGCTCTAAATATCTGGAACAAACTCCCAGAAACCTGCAGGTCCGCTGCAACTCTGACTACTTTCAAATCCAGGCTGAAGACTTTTCTTTTTGTCGCTGCTTTTAATTGAACTATTCACATCTTAAACTGCACTGAAACTTTTATTCATGTATTTTTTTCTTTTAATGTTTATTTTATTAGCTTTTCTTTTTAATGACTGATTTTAAAAATGCCATTTTCTTAATGTCTTTCATTTTTTGTAAAGCACTTTGAATTGCCTTGTGTTAAAAAGTGCTATATAAATAAACTTGCCTTGCCTAATGTCTTCTATAACTCATTTCATATCTACAGCTTTCCAACAAAGACAGCTGGCAGTGGGAAGCCAGTTGGACCACAACCCTTGTTGTTGCTGAAGTTACTTTTTTATATTTACAATTACAACTGCCTACCCCTAGGGGTACTTTGGAGTACTGCAGTGAGTTTTATTTTTCTATTTTTTATTGAAAAAAATAGCTATGCATGATTCGAAATATAATGATACTATAATATGTGTTTAAAAAAACTCATGTAAATAGAAAGAGTGAATATTCAATGTTCAATACTGCTGACCCACTCGAAGTAAAACATAAAATAAGATAACGACTGTTGAATATATAATCTTGGTGAAGCACATATTTTATCTATTTAAAAAAATCTAAGTTAACCTGATTATTAAACATTCTACTGTAAAAGAATCAGACATTTTAGATCATAAATGCAACGTCTGCTGTGTTTATCTGGATGTGTTGACCGTGCTGTACAATACAGCTGGATCCTCTTCAGAGTCCTGACCTCTGGTCCTGAGAGATACAACATGTATTTCTTAGTGGTAATAATAATGCAAAAGGAATTAAATGATAGATGAACAATGTTCCTGTGAGGATCTGCTCACCTCGGGGCAGCACTGCTGAACTTGACGGCAGCGTACTCCGGGACTTCCTGTTGCTCCGTGTGTCCGAGGGGCTGAGCTGCTCTCATGTTGGAGTAAAGAGGGTCTGCCCGGTTGTTGGAGAAGTGAACGCTGGCATACTGAAGGTCTTCCTGCTGCTCCGGCTGATCAGGTACACACTGCAGGGAGGAAAACACTTTCAGCTACACATTTTCACATTAATAGATATTTCATTTAAAGAGGAATGGACCCAGGACAGAAAAGGCCAAAGCAACAGCAGCTGTGGTAATGATGGAAAAATATCCCTGCTTCATCAACATGATGCTTTATGACAGAAATATTAAAGGATAAAAGATAGGAAAACTTCTGGATGAACTTGAACGTCTAAGAGGAGAATCAAAGAGATTGTGATAGAAATTAACTTTTTTTAGAAGGATGTAAAAAGAGCAGCAAGAGGTCCTTCTATGTCAGATCCATTTTATATAAGCACTTAAAGACCATGAAACACTCCTCATTATACATTGAGAGTAATATGTTTTATTTTGTACTAGATGAATTACATAAGCATCTATTATCACCTCTTCCCTGTTGTCCGCTCTCTCTTCAGGCTCAGACGAGTCTCTGGAAGCCCTCTCTCTTCTGGTTAGGAGAGTTTATAAAGAAAAAGAAGATCAAATGTTTGACATCAGACAAACAGACTTTTAATGATTTAACAAACAATGATTACGATGATCAGATCTGCTCACCTGATCCACAGGAAGACAGAGAGAGAAATGACAGCCAGGAGAACAACAGGGATTGTTACAAAAGATAGTAGCTTCTGTGATCCTGAGAAACAGAGATCAACAGAGAACAGACAGTTAATACAGCGGTGTGTCCTTAATATGGATACAAGGACCCCTAGGGGCACTTTGGAGTAATGCAGGGGGTGTAACACTTTATTTCAACAAGTCCTCCAACTCATATGACCAAATAGGTCGATTGTTCAAGCCCTTATTACGACCAAATATGTTGTTTGTTCAAGCGCTTAATACGACCTATAATCACGTTTTAAAGTTTTCGCCCTCTAGTGCTCCTGTTGATTGCAAACGTTACAGACTGTCGTTTATTCACAAATACAATTGTAGGATAGTTTGGCCATTAAAATGCTTTTAGATTGCTAGCGAGAAATGTATATTGTACTTTTAGAATCCACGTCCAGTCGATATGTAGGATCTATAGTTTGATAGATATCACGAAGATGATTTGAGGTATGCGGCAGCTTCCATGTAAAGTTACGGGTTGAAAACAGTATTTCCGGTCTCAACGTTTTCATAATAAAACCAATGATCAAATGATTTAACAGTGATATCTGCAGTACTCATCCACTAAAAAACATCAGTTTATCCTAGTTAATTATACGACATTAATTGGTTTAAATTGTGTACAATGTGTCGGCTGCATTAAATATTACACATCTGCCGTAGATATTTATTTATAGAGCCCTGATGAGAAGACTTCTTGACAAACTGGAAGAAATGCCACCGAAACTGAATACGTGACGTGGATCATAAATATATCAACAATTAAACAACATCTTCCATTTATTTTCACACAATACGTCTCCTTGCAGTATCAACACTAATTCGGCTGACTTTTATATTTGATCCAATTAGTAGATGGTCTGTATTTACACCATAACGGTGCACAGCTGATATAAAGGGACTTGTAGTTTTTAAAGATATTACTGATTTACTGAACTACCTTTCCAACTCCTCATGCAGCTGACTGTTACAGGTATATACAGGTTCATGGTACAATGCATAAGCTTCAAATCGAGAGACTGAAACTGTATTTTCCTTTACCTTTCTGTGTTAATTTCACAATAAAGTTAATAGTCATATGTTTGATATTATTATGTTTCATTAACTACACCACTGGTTTTTAACCCGTACCGCCTAGTGGTTAAAGCACGTTATTGAATTTTGTTGTTGAATAAGTTATATTTGATGAAAACATTTAAATATTAAGAGTAGCCTAGTTAGGATGCCACCTGGGCGCCTCCCTAGGGAGGTGTTCCAGGCACGTCCAGCTGGGAGGAGACCAAGGGGTAGACCTAGGACCAGGTGGAGGGATTATATCTCTTCGCTGGCCTGGGAGCGCCTTGGGACCCCCCCAGTCAGAGCTGGTTGATGTCGCCAGGGAAAATAAAGTTTGGGGCTCTCTGCTGGAACTGCTACCCCCGCGACCCGACCACGGATAAGCGGGAGAAGATGGATGGATGGATGGATGGAGTAGCCTACATACAAAATAGGGGGAAAGTAGAAGGCATGATAGAAATATAAAATATCAAGAAGATACTGCTGCCCATTATGGACACAATCAATTTTCACCCATTTATTAATTATCTGTTTTAAATTTGATATCCCCTAAACCTCCAGGGGTGTACACAGTTTAATACGGGCAACTTCTAATTGTGGGAAATACGAAAACGTCTTTTAAAATTACAATTCCCAGTAGAGACGTGCCATAGAAAATGTTGCGAAACACACAATAGCCAGCATTTGTAGTTCTGGGGGGGGGGGGGGCTGGACTGGACCCGTCCAATTCCGTCCCGCCTCGACCATTACTGGTCAAACATCACCTTCACTTTGGACTATGTGACTGTTGCCAGCATCCACAGTAAATAAAGAATCAGTGATCTACTTATTTATTTATGAGCGACTAAAAGGCCTTAGGCCTATTACAGCCGTATCCTATTGATTGATTGAATTCCAGTTTTGGAAAGTCTGCCGTCGTTCCGTTCCATTTCAAAGAGCTGTTTGACGCTCGGCGTAACCTTGTCGCACTGCCACTCCAACATCCAATCACAGAGCTTGAGGACTAATCACGGGGTTTGTAAAGCAAGGCGGATGTTGTAGTCCCAAACGATAGCTGGGGATTCTGGGTAGTGTAGTGTCTTCGGAAACTGTAGTGTCTAAACTCCTAAAAAACTATTTGTTTCTCTGAATCGAAGGTTAAAAACACAAAAGTATTGTACACAATTTAAACCAATCAATATTGTGTAATTAACAAGGATAAACGGATGTTTTGTAGTGGATGAGTAATGCAGATATCACTGTGTAATCATTTGACAGTGAGGGGAATACTTTCGGTTTTATTATGAAAACTTAGAGACCGGAAAAACTGTTTTCACCCCGTGAGGGTTGACGCTAACTTTACATGGAAGCTGTCGCATATACACGTTCTCCTGGCGAGACCTCAAATCATCTTCGTAATATCTATCAAACTATAGATCCTACACTTCCACTGGACGTGGATTACCAAAGTACAATATACACTTCTCGCTAGAAATCTAATAAAAAAGCATTTTAATGGCCAAACTATTCCACAATTTAGGATTTTACAGAGAGGGTTATTTGTGAATAAACGACCCTCCGGAGCGTTTGCAATCAACGGGAGCATGTTGTTTCTTACACAACCACTAGAGGTGCTACACTTTAAAACGTGACTCTGGGTTGTATTAAGCTGCTGAACAATCGACCTATATGGTCGTTTTTTGTAGGAGGACAGGCTGCTTTATTTTCAACCTTCCTATTTCTAAAAAAATATACTATCATTTGTTTTAAAAGTAATGTTAATAGAAAAACACTTGTCAAATGTTCAATAAGCTGGAACCAATTCAAATACATTCATGACATTGTTAGTTTTGTGATGAACGGGTGATGATACTCCATTCATTATTTCCTTCTCAATACTGATGGAATATCTCTCAGCCTGTGGGCACTTGCACTTGGCATAAGCTTCACAAAACAGACACAACTCTCACTCTGAGTACAAAGGGAATGACTGCACCCCATACTGAAACTGATAATTATTTCCTCTTGTAAAAGAAAGGAAACAAGCCCTATCCCGAACCGGAAAAGTACATTTGAACATGTACTCCTTTTTCAGCCTCCTACCCAGACAATGTGACTGAAAACAAACAAGCTGATAAGTGTGTGGTAGTAGATTAATGCATAAAACGTACCTGCCACAACCCTCAGATGTAAGGTGGAGTTACTACGTCCTAACTTGTTCTGGGCTCCACAGTAATAACTCCCACTGTGTTCAGCTCTGAAGTCAGTGATGGTGAAGATCTGTCCTGAAGCTTTTGAAGAGTCTTCATCCTCCTTGTACCAGGTGTAGTTAGCTGCTGGGTTAGCATCACTGCTACAGGTCAGAGTCACTGAACTGCCCTCCTCTATCTCAGCAGAGGGACTCGCTGACACAGAGGGGAGCTTTGGAGCATCTGGAGGATAAGTGTTTAAAGTTATTAACATTAAAGTAGATATCATGTCAACTTGCAAATGTCCAGAGGCACAAAGCAGGAACAGTTTGCAACACAATGCAAAACATTTTAAAGCTTTGGAGCATCTGGAGGAGATAACATGAACACATTTCACATTTTAATTCCACGGTGGAGGATATTTTAAATGAGAAATAGTTTAACCCTTAGATGCACGAGTGACTGGACCCTACACTCTTCCATAAGTGGGTCAAAAAGGACCCTTATTAGAATAATATGTGTTTTTATGCCATTTTTGTAATTTTGGTTAAGACAAATCACTTGTATAATATTTAGTATTATATTTGGGTTCACATTAGAAATATTTTATATTTAATTTTTCACTATTTAAGATAAGATAAGATGGACTTTTATTAATCCCTCGTGGGGAAATTGTTTCTCTGCATTTGACCCATCCTAGTGTTAGGAGCAGTGTGCTGCCATTTTGAACGGCGCCCGGGGAGCAGTGTGGGGAACGGTGCGTTGCTCAGGGACACCTCGGTAGCACTTGGTCTTGCCGGGACTTGAACTGGTGACCTTCCAGTTGCCAAGCCAAGTCCCTATCGACTTTGCCACCACCGCCCCACTTTTCTTTTTTTTTTTTTCTTTTTTTTTTTTTTAAGATAAGATGGTTTTTAAGATAAGATGGTTTTTAAGATAAAATGGATAAGATTTATAATTTTAGAAACTTTTTACATTTTGAAAAAAAAAATTATTCTATTTTTGACCCAGTTATGGAAGCTTGGGGTAGTAATACAAAAACTACAATTTCTTTAAATGTATAACATTTACAATTTGAATGGCATGATTTCCAAAACATGTTTTTTGAGGAATAGCTGGAATATGAAATTATATAAAAATGTAATTACAAAGATACTTCATAAAAACCACCTCACCGGGTCAAAAAAAGACCCACTTATGCAGCTAAGGGTTAATAAAACACAGAGTTCACTGGATTCCATCCTTTATCAGAAGTCTAAACACTTTGAGGGAAAGAGTTAATCTTTATGTCATGGAAGAAGTTTCCTTCATAATTCTCGTGTATTCTTCTTTCTAGTAGCATCCTTCGTAGCAAGATTATATTTTACCTATTTTAAAATCAAACAGAAAACCTAGAGCCCTGGTTCAGTGTCTTTGCACACTGCCATGTCTGCTGGCGGCCTCTGGTGGGTAAATAGATAAATGAGTGCAATGATGATATATGTTATACTGTATGTTAATGTCATTATGTCAGTGGAAGACTTTGAGTGAACTCACACACTGAAGGAGAGGGGAAGTCCTCATATCCCTTCAAAGCACAGGAATAACTGTCTGCTGACTC